ATCCAGTGTGGCCAATATCCCCGACACTTTTTTTTTTTTTTTTTCGTAAAATCATTTATTCATGTAATGTAATTGTTTTTAATTCGTAAGAATCAAATTTGATATTAAGATATTTATAACTACGAAGCTAATTGAGTCAGACTTCTTGATGTTCTATTTCTTTTTTATGTACAGATTTTGTATTTAATATAATAATATATTTTTATTTATAGAAAATATTAATTTTTTATATATATATACGTGAAAAATTAATTTTTCTTTATTAAGTCATGCTTTTACTTAGCCCCTTAAGTTGAAACCTTGCCTTCGACTAGATTATATTGACTTATATAAAATTTACTTTAAAAATAATAATATTTAAATTGATTATTAATTAACTGACTGTATTGAAACTTTTTGGTCTATAACACTTAATAAACATTTTATTGTTAAAATATTTTTATAACAAGTGAATATTTATAGAAATGCATGGTAATAATATATTTTTGAAGCAGATTCTTTAGTATTAGGTAAAAAATAATTAAAATATGTCAAATAATGTGTGAATAGGCTTCTTTAGTTGAAAATTAGATAATCTGGGAAATAATGAAATGTTAGTTGAATGAAGTTAACTAAAGAGTGTTTGAGTGGTTTGGCAGTGAGAAAGAAAAATGTTAGTATAAGTTTGGCAATTTGAAATGAGAGTTGAATAAAGAAAGAAAGAAAGAAAGAAAGTGTCTCAACCAACAACTACCCTCTCTCTCTCTATATATACCAACACAGTACAACAATAACACTGTTGTGTTGTGTTGTGTTGTGAGTTATAACTGTTGCTTAACGCAATCAACTCTCTCTCTCTTTCTCTTTGTGATGGAGGAGGCGGTGGCCGTACGGCGAGCCTTGGAGCTGCTCAACCAGAACGACCCCGTTTTGAGGGTGGAAGCCGCCAGGGACATACGCCGCCTCACCAAGACCTCCCACCGCTGCCGCCGCCACCTCCGACATGCCGTGCCGCCACTCGTCTCCATGCTCCGAGTCGACTCGCCCGAGTTCCACGAACCCGCGCTTCTCGCTCTGCTTAACCTCGCCGTCAAAGACGAAAAGTACGCCTCACTACTCTCAACCCTCTTTTTTCTTCAATCTCTATTCACCGACACGTATTAATATTTAACAAAAATAAACGGTTACGCATATTATTCAAGTAAAAATTTAATTCTGATTCAAAAACATCACTCATAATAACATCTGTGTATAATTTTTTTTTAATGTATTCTCAAACTGCTTTCTTAACGGGAAAAAATAAATTATTTTGACTATATGGATATTGGTAATAGTAATTATTATATTTTATTTGGTGAAGGATGTTTGTTTGTTATACTATAATTTTGGTTTAGGTTTTAATTCGGGTATCCGAGATACTCCTCTGAGTTGGTGCGAATAACTTTGGTTTCTATATTATTTTTCTTCTGATTCCTCAATTCGTGTGGGTATTGTGAAACATATTGGATCCATGGAAGTTGTCAAGTTGGGAATAGAATACAAGTGCCATGAATAATTTTGATTTGGTAAACAGACAAATGCATGGTACAATAACGAGGAGTTTTTTATTTGTGGATATTTAGAAGAGGTTATGAGAAGTTTATAAAATAGTTAATGTCATTAGTTTTTAATTATTTTTGTTTGTTTAACTTATTAAATAAACTAGATTTAGTTAATTAAAATAGGTTTCGTAATTAAATTTATGATATAAACCTTCACATAATAAAAAATTATTAAACAAGTTTACTCAGCGCACTCTTTCTTAGTCTTCTCTTATTTTTTTATTTACATCCCATTTATTAGTGAGAAAAATACAACAAATTTCAGGCCTTATATTATTTTCTTTTAAATTTTAGCAAGATATTTGATGGGACTTAAGGAAGAAAGATGATGGGTTTGAATGAAATTTTCACGGCTGGTATTCCCCTTTTTGTTACAAAAAAGAAAAAAACAATTTTCATGGATTGGAATTAAAATGCAAAAGTTGGTTGGTTGAATTTTGGGGGGGGGGGGAATGAATAAGTCAGAATGATAGGAAAAGAGAAAAATTGAGGTGATGATTGAGTATTTGCTTGTCATACTTTTCAATTTTAATATTTTTCACTTTTTTATACTGTATTTATCGTTGTTTCTTATGGATTGGATGCGTGCATAAACTAGTTAACAAGAAATAATTGGATGCTTTAACAGTAGATTCTGATCCAATTGTAGGGTAGTTTTTATTTGGTACAAATGGTTCACTTTACCTTTTTAACGTTTTAGATTTGTCTTCTTTTCAAGAAGTTAACCTGATATCATTTGTTGGCGAAATACTATTAGCTAGGAGGAGTCTGCAAAAAGTTGTACAGGATAGCAAATAGAAAACAGAATTCAAACAAATGATATATGATTTAGGTGTGGTTTAATTTTTAAAATATCACAAAGAAAACAATAAAAACAAATTTATTCTATAAAATTATTAAATAATAAATTATAATTGTAGATAAAAACATATAAACTTGACAAGAAAAAAGCCAACAATCAACCTAAACACCGAATAAAACCTTTAGTTGGGGGAATTCTGGTTATTGTTGTCCTATTTGACTTTCCCATATGAATGCACTGCGTCCTCTTGTTTTTAATGTTTATTGTTGGAGATGGTTCATGTCCATTCATTCAATGCCGTATTCAATCACCGAATTGCTTTATTCAACTTTCGTACTCTTCTTTTCATTAAGGCTATGCTTGTGGTTGTAGGTGGAATGGAAAATAAAGATGGAACGGAAAGACAAAAAAATATTAAAATAGAATGTTTTGGTTTTACTAATTGCTGCCTGGTGAAATCACTTTCATATCTCACTTTCAGCCTGTAAGAGTGGCCAACATTTTATATTGGGATGTGAATCATTTAAGCTCCTCCTCTCTTTCCTTCTTTTTTGTATCATTAAGTTTGAAGTATTTAAAATTTTCACGCCTCGATTTTCCATGTAGTCAAAAAAGCATAACCAAAAATTTCTAGTTTTGGGTTGTGTTTTGATTCCTAATTAGCTTTTATATTAAACGCTTTTGAGAAGAGAAGACCATACTTTTATGTGTTCTATATTCAAATTTCCCTTTTCTCTCTTTTTGGGTCCCGGGGTGGGTAGGGATTTTGAGGCTTATAATTTATCTAATAACAGATAGATTGTCGGGTCCATAAATGAGCTATGATCATAGAAAATATCTTCATATTCAACTTCAGCAAGGAATTAATTATGTACAAACTCTAGGCATCTTCATAAGAGTAAGAGAGTAAATCAGGGGATCTAATGTTAATCATGCATCTGATGCCTGTTTTAGTATGTTCCAGCTTGTGATTGAAGAAAATCTGATAATCTAATATGAAAAATAAAAGGATTATTCACGCAGTTAAACATGCACTAAAAACTGTCTTCCTTTATCAAATGCTTTAGATTCAATGATGTTTAACTTTCTGCTATGTAATTACTATGGCTCAAACATAATTCATTCCTATTCTTATCAAACAGGAACAAAATTAACATTGTGGAAGCCGGTGCATTGGAGCCGATAGTTAGTTTCCTCACATCACAAAATCCAAATCTGCAGGAGTATGCAACTGCATCATTGCTCACTCTATCAGCCTCTCCAACCAACAAACCAATCATCAGTGATTGTGGCACCATTCCTCTTCTTGTGAATATTCTCAGAGATGGAACCCCACAAGCTAAAGCCGATGCTGTAATGGCTCTGTCCAATTTGTCAACACACCCTGATAACCTCAGCATCATCCTTAAAACAAATGCAATGCCATGTATAGTCGACCTTCTCAAAACTTGTAGAAAGTCCTCAAAAATAGCTGTAAAATGTTCTGCTTTGATAGAATCCTTGGTGGGGTATGAGGAGGGAAGAATTGCCTTAACATGTGAAGACGGTGGGGTTCTTGCAGTTGTGGAGGTTCTTGAAAATGGTTCCCCCCAAAGTAGGGAACATGCTGTTGGAGCCCTTCTTATAATGTGCCAGAGTGATAGATGTAAATATAGGGAACCAATTCTCAGAGAAGGTGTTATTCCTGGACTTCTAGAGCTTACAGTTCAAGGGACCGCTAAGTCTCAGCCAAAGGCACGTACCCTTTTGCAGTTACTAAGAGAGTCTCCATATTCAAGACCTGAAGTTGAACCTGACACTCTTGAGAACATAGTGTGTGACATCATATCTCAGATTGATGGTGATGATCAATCTGGTAAAGCAAAGAAGATGCTAGCTGAGATGGTCCAAGTCAGCATGGAGCAGAGTTTGAGACATTTACAACAAAGGGCTCTTGTATGTACCCCTAGTGATATCCCTATTACAAATTGTGCTTCTCAAGTTTCTTCTAAATAATACTTGGGGCTCTTCTACTTTGTATCTATCTTTCTCTTTCCACTTGGAACTAGCAAGATAAATTTTCTGTTACATAAGAAAGAAAGAAAACTGAAAAGGAAAATAACATAGTAAAAAAATGCCAGTCCAGGCCATCATGGAGGTATCGAGTGACTGGTAATTGTCAATAAAATGATGTTGTAAAATGATAAGAGAATGAATTTCTAGTTGATTTGTAAAGGAATTGTTGTTGTATAAAATAATTTACAGAAGTAGTAAGGATCTTATCAATTCTTCTTCCTCCTCCTCTGTGCAATTGCGTAGTGAGAAAGAAATTGTACATAGTACATCTTGATAGGACTTTTTCTTTATGAAGTTTGGTATTTTAGATCTCAGAGAAGGACCCTTTAATGCTACTTTCATCAGTACAAGAATTTTTCTATTTGGGCGACAATAATGTAATACCTTTTTTTTATGGCAACATTGATGGTGATGTTGATGGAGTGAGGTTCTGGTGTTTGACCATTCAATTGCATCATTTTGAGGGGAAGGCTTAGATCGTTTGATAATGATGGATAATAATTAAGAACAGATATATTAATGCCTTAATATATAATTTATTTTGAGAAATATTTTTTTTTATTTAGATAATTATAATATTGGTCCGGAGTTTCTACTGTGGTAATTTTTTTTTCAAAAATTGTGAGTGTTCAAATGTGTGTATTCTCATTCTAACATAAATTATATTTAAAATTAAGATTTGGACCTTGAAAACTTAATTAAGGAGTTAAAAGTAATTATCAATAATTTAAAAAAATTCAAATAAAAAGTGCATAAATATATTTTATTCTTATATGTAATCACTTTATCGTATAATGTAGTAAATTATTAATTTTAATAATAATTATTTTATAAGTCATTTAAATTATATATAAAGATATATTATTTCTTCATTTTCATTCTTCTTAAGATCTATTTATTATTGAGTTTATTTATCTATTTGTTTAAAATATTTTTATTTTATTCCTTTTTGTCATTTTAAGCACAGTCTCTTTTAGTAACTTATTTCACTCTAATCTCCATTATGTTACATCATACACCCAATAACTATATATAACTATTTCTTTCTTCTATGTGCAACACATCAAATTAAGTCAATTTTTTTTTTACATTTTACTTTTTATTTAAATAAAATATATAGAGACAAAGTCTCTACCCCACTAATGCTTATAAATTAAACTCTTAAAAACTAAATTTATTTTCTAAAATTAACTAGTTATACGTGTATAATTTTTAAGGAAAAGAGTTATAATAACACCGTTGTAACTTTTATTAAGTATTACACAACTTAATAACTTTATATTAAATGTGAATTTTGTAAAAGCAACCGTTAGATTGAAAATTCTTTACTCTTAGATCATATATACAAAATTTTATATTAATCTAAGATGATTTGATACTTCATTCTTATAAAACAAAATTGACATAATATATACATTTCAAAATATATTAAAATATGAACATTTTGATTACCTTCAAGTTCTTGTTTAATTTTAACAAAATTTGATATACACATATAAAGTGATATGAACTTTCAATCTAACGGTTGGATTTATAAAATTCACATTTAATATAAATTTATTGAGCGATATAATTCTTAATAAAAATTACACCGATATTATTATAACCTCCTTATTTTTTAAAAAATTAAAATCTTCTCTTTTACCAATTAATGTCCTATGAATGTTTAGTACATGAAAAACTTTTCCATATACATGAAAATAATGATTCATGAGAATCATAACTCTAGATATCATAATTCTTAAAAATAATTAATATCTAGGTTGATTATAAATATTTTTAGGAATGTTTATAATCTTATCTAGGAATCAAATATTTTTATTGTATTAAATAAATAAATAAAGGTAATATGACATTTTTACTTTAATAAAATTTTATTTTGAACTAAATTTTAATTTCTTACCTCCTCCATGAGAAAAATTTCATAAAAATTTATATAAAATCTAAAATTTATTCTCAAAAAATAATATTTTCTACAAATGTTATTTTTTAAAATAACAAAAATGGTACATCAAACAAAAGGAAGACAACGAAACCCAAACAATACTAACATTACTAGAAAGTAAAAACTATAGTCCCTAGTGGTTAATATCTTTGAAACAGAATCTATCTAATATCCATTTTCAGTTCTGTATTATACGTTACGAATTTGATTGATTATTTAAAAGTAAAAATAAGTAGGAGAAAAAAAAAGTTGTTAGTTTATCAAAAATCACGGAACAATATTAGTATATCTTGATGCAAATAGTTTTGGTAACAAATAGCATCTCCAAAACTGCATGCCACTCACTCTGACACATTACCACAGCAATGGCCACCAAAGCCGAAGGCATCCAAGAAGAAGAATTCTCACGTATGGAAGATGGTGTTTCCTCTAGCCCTTCCAGATGTGACACATTACATAACTGTTGTTCAAACAACGTTGTAACCCTAGTACAGAAGGTTAGTCACTTGATCTTTTGACACAAGAATTAACAATTAATCACACACAAGTAAATGAGGGTGCATGATTGTTTTTTTTTTTTTTTGGGATTGTTACTAGGTGATCGCAGAATTGATTGGCACATATTTTGTGGTATTTGCGGGTTGTGGGTCTGTGGCAGTGAATAAGATCTATGGTTCTGTGACATTTCCTGGAATTTGTGTCACATGGGGGCTCATCGTAATGGTCATGATTTACTCAGTTAATCATATCTCTGGAGCTCACTTCAATCCTGCAGTCACCATCACTTTGGCCATCTTTCGCAGGTTTTCATATAAAGAGGTAACTTTCTCTGATTAGTTAATTGATTCGGATTTTAAAATTTGAGTTTCATCTAGTGCATGGTTCGCTTTTTTACCGAACTGAACTAGATCATTCTATAAAAATAAAATGGATCGATTCATTTAAAACAAAAAACAAAAAAACAGATTGAATTTTTTTCTTTTAAATAGTTTAATTTAGTGTAATTTGATTGTCTATATAATATTCATAATATATACTTCATTTTTTCAAATAACCAAATTCAAATGTTTTATGAATTCGATTAACTAAGTCATTTAAATCAAGTAATAATATATTTCATTTCTGTTTTGAATCGATTTGTTCCGTATGATTTTCTTAAACACTTATAATTTCATCTAATTCAATAAAAGTCAACAACTAATTAATAATTTTGATATGAGCAGCACACCATAATCACGTATAAATTTTTGAAGTCTCTTTTAGGATCAGTTTAGTTTAAAGGAGAGAATGAAAAGGGAGGAAAAAGATTTTAATAAAGGATGGTGGAAAGGAGGGAAAAGAATTTTAAAATTTTATTTGATTGAGAAGAGATGAGAAGAAAGAGAAAAGATAGTTATTTTCTTGTTTAATTTACAAGGAGATGAAAGAGATTTTAAAAACCATTTATTTATTTTTATATCCTTATAATTTTAAATTGAATAAAGTAAGATTATCTTGAATATTATATTAAAAATGCTATAAAATCTGTCTTTTATCCTAAAAATTGAAATAAAAACTTTTTTTTTAATTTTATTTGCGTCCAACCAAACACTATATTTGTTCATTATCTCCTAAATTTACAATATAACAACCAAAAAAAAAGTTTATACTTGGTGTTTTATCATATCATAATAAATAAGTTTGTTTATGAAAAAGATACTTAAAAAATACAAAATAAACTATCATCAAATACTTAAAAGAACTACTAGGATCACTTTAACGGTGAAAAAAGTCTCAAGTAGTGTGTTCTGTCTGTGCAATATAAAAATAGATAAAGAAAGAACAAGTTAAAAAACTCATCTGCTTAAAATTAAAAGAGTAAAAACTCAACTCATAAAAGGAAACAGGGAAAAAGGAAACTATTTTTTTTTTTTATATATATATCTTGATGTAGTGCTATGAATGCTTAGAATAAAATGTGAACCTTAATTTATATATAATGATTAAATTTGTTGGTTTCCTTGAAATAGGGTCTTATAGTGTGTTGGTATATATATAACTTTTGTGCATGCAGGTGCCACTGTACGTTATTGCTCAGTTGCTAGGGTCGATACTTGCTAGTGGCACATTAGCCCTAATGTTGGATGTAACGCCTAAAGATTACTTTGGAACAGTACCAGTTGGATCCATTGCACAGTCTTTAGTTGCTGAAATCATCATAACCTTTCTCTTGATGTTTGTTGTATCTGCTGTTGCTACAGATCACAGAGCGGTTTGCCCTCCTTCATATATATATCTTTAATAAATAGTTTTCATTTTTCACATTTTCCCTTTATTGATTTTTTGTGAATTCAAGATTCTTATAAGCATTTTGTACTCGGCTTGATAAATTCGCAGGTGAATGAATTTGCTGGAGTTGCAGTTGGCATGACAATAATGTTGAATGTCTTCATTGCCGGGTAATTAATTATTGGATTTTAATTTTAATACTCATTTTAGGCATCATTAAGAAGGATGATAAGTATTGTAATTATTGGGTTAAGAGTCATAACTTAAGTAATTAATTAACTACACACAACTTTGGTCTTATATATATGTTGGTTTGTTATTAAAATTGAAAATGGTTTTGTTGCATGCAGACCTGTATCAGGAGCTTCCATGAACCCTGCAAGAAGTATTGGACCTGCGCTTATAAAGCATGTTTACAAAGGGTTATGGATATACGTAATTGGTCCAATTATTGGAGCCATAGCTGGAGCACTTGCCTATAACCTTCTTAGATCCACAGAAATGCCATCTTCAGAATAAATCACTGAGACCAGTCCATGGGGAATTTCATCATTTTCTTTTTTGGTGTACAAAATTTCATTATTTTAGTCCGGCAAACTTTTGTATTTTTTTTTTGTTGACCAAATTTGGATTAGGTTTTACTAATTGAATGGTGTCGAAAGGTCCATGCAACTAGTGAGAATTTTAGAGGTTGAACTTCATCCAATATTGCTTTCGAAGGCTCGGGGTTTTGGATTAAGTGATGATTGGTTTCAGTTATAAATCTTTCAAACGTAGTTTTATTTAGTTACTGTACTTTTTTTTTTTTTTGACCCATTATATGTGAGAATTTTCTCTTGCTCTGGTTATTTGGAATTGATTTTATGATATTGTAGTAGTGTTTTCGATGAAATTTGATAAGTGAATTCTTTTAATCCAAGTAACAAATCAAGTTTTTAACTTAAATATGTTTTATAGAAGTAGTTTTAGTGATGACCTATAATCTCCATAAATAACTCAATAATTATTGAACAAATTTGTTATATAATATCAATAAATGATTAACGCATATTTCAATCAAATTAAAAGATTGAATTTGATATCTAATTTTACTGCTCTAACTAATACATGCTTATTCCTTGAATTATCTCCTTTCAACATCTTCGATTGTTAATATTTCAATCTTCTTCCTTCGATGTTTTTTCTTCGAGTAACTAAATCAACTATAACAAATAGATAAATATTATTATCTCTCTATTTTTTCTCCCGTGTAAATACGAGTCGTGTTATTTGATGAATAGTGGTTTCAGCGTTGGTTTACCAAGGCACGAAGTTGGAAACCAATAAAGATAATACTCGAATTGTTGAATTCAGCATTTAAGATACATGCATGTGAAGCATATTGACGTTGTAATAGTTGAGTTTTTTTAAAGTAATTATCGTAAATGTCAAATCAAAAGTGATTTTTGATTGCTTTACGATGTAAAGGTTTTCACATAGATATTCCTTCCTGAATATACGGTAAGCAAAAAAACAAAACCTCTTATTTGTGTCTCTTCCTAACTCGTTATTACTTTAATTGCTTAGTGGTAGCATTCCTTTCATTCTATCACTTCTCGAAAGTACTAATCATTGTTGGTAACACTTAGTTAGACGGCAGATTTTACATGTTAAATGTTGTTTGGCTGGATCAAAGGCTGAGAATCTTTTAGAACAATTAATAAAGAAGCAGTTACATGTTTCCGTGACATTACATTGAAAATGCTTGCCACACTAATCATGGAAAGCTTCATATGACTATTTTTCGGGAGGCTTGCGAAAATAGAAGCACTTTGCTAATTAATTACATTTATTTTATTTCTTTCTTCTGATTAAGCAGGGGTTGCCTGTACTTTGCCTTAATGTTTGATTTGCATGTGAATTGATCTTTATTTGGAATGGAAATGGTACAATTCATGCAATTAATTGGTGTATTACTCCTCTAAACCTACGTACAAGTAAAAATTATTATTTTTATATAAATTAAAAAAGTTCATTAAATATATTTAATTATCATAATTTTACATAAAATATATACTATATTTCTTAAAATATCTTTAACTATGATAAATTGTGCTTTTATTTATTATCTATTGAATACTTTTGAATTAAGAACATTAAATAAAATTGATTTAATTAAAATTTATTTATATCTTAATTAAAAAGTTTTAAACATTTTTTTTCTCATACATAGATGCAGATAAAGTATTACTGATCAGGATCCTCATCCATCAGGACGTGGTCTTGGATTTCTTCCTAAAGAAGGTCATGGTGTGTATATGGCAAGGTGTGGTTTTATCTTGTGATTACAATATTCTTTTGTTTATTGACCATGAGAAATACAAAGCAGATGGAAAAAGAAATTTGAAATTGGTCTTCAGCAGTTGTCTTAATACAAAATATTACAGTATTAAGACATTGGAGATTTCTCCTTTTTTAAATCTTTTCCATTTGATATTTCTTTTTAATTTTGTGAGTACCCATCTAACATTTTAATACAGGGACAACATTTATCTACCAGACTGAAAAGCAATGAATAAGAACTAAATTGTTTACATCAAATGTTAACACTGAATTGTTCACCATCGCTCATTGGAACCAACAATTTTACCAGCAAGACAAAAAAGCAAAGGAAATTAAAATGAAATGAACAAGAAGTACCTAAAAATAAAATAGAATAAGATGAAGATGAATAAAGAAACAAAGTTTGAACAAGGAAGATAAATGAAACAATGAAGCTGTTGTTTGATGAAGTCCTCAGCCAAATAACATTGTGATTGACAATGCTCCCAAACCAGCCAAAAGCAGCAACCCCACAACTCTGTTTTGAGAAGCAGAGTAATAGTTTGCAAAAGCATCCCCTGGCACACCCGTTACATATATAAACCTTGGCGGTGGTGGTGTTGGTGGTGGTCGTGATGGCGGTGGTGGCGGTGGTTTTGATGGTGGTGGAGGTGGTGGTGATTGATCACAATTTTGTGGTGAGGAAATCTCAGGGAGGAGTAGTGGCGGCGGCGAAGGTGGTGGTGGAGGAGGAGGAGATAGAAGTTGTTCATCACATGGGCTTCCACAAGGACATGATCCACATTTGATTTCAGTATATGGTGGCTGGGAAACCAGTGGTTGATCTAAGTTGCTAGAAATTGTAACACACAAAAGAAGCAGCAGCACTATTGTAAGTTTTTGAGGACTCCAACTCTTTGTTGGAGACACCATTGTGTACTTGGAATTTGGTTCCTTTTGAGGCAAGGTATATAAATAAGAACTTGTATGTGAAGTAGGGTGTGTGAATCTTTTTGGATTGCTTACGTTTCTTGCACGTATAATATGCCAAAGCAATGGTCACTTATTTGGTTAACATGGGCATTTAAAAAAACAAAACATTTAACAACTTGATCTAATTAGTTCACTTGGCAAATGTTTGTATAGACATAACTTGTATCTGCATGAAAATTAAGAATTTCAATCCTATGAGTTTAGGAGAAACTTCAGGTTTTGGGAGGGAAGGATTAAGTTGTGAGATTTTTTTGACAGACTTTGTTATTATTATTGGTGAAGTATTTATTGATTGTTTTTAATGATGAATTTTATCAAAGAGAGTAGTTTGATCACTTTTAGTACTCTCTAACAATGTATTTTATTTTCTTTGTTTAAATATAAAATGCAATTCTTAATACGAATTATTATAGAGCAAATTATATGATGTTTCTTATACAAGCTCATCTTTTATACAATCAATATACAAAAATTGTTTAACAATTTTTATCAATAAATAAATATAACTTTATAAGTAAAGAGTCATTAAAAATGCGAGAGACCCATTAATGTTAACAACTTAATAAGAATTGAACAAATAAAAAAAAAATAAACAAAATACTTATTAAGAAAGATGATATATGAGGTCCATCAAAATTCACTCAAACAACTCAATACTATAATACTTGTAATTAGATCTTCTTTTTTAATATTTTTGTTTTCCATTCATATTCCTTGAATATGGAATATTGTTTAGGAGATTTAAAATCAAGTTTCACACAAATAAAAAATTGTTAGTAATTTCCTATGTTTGGGTACAATGATTCTATAATTGTGTGATAATGGGAGATCTTAAGAAACAAAAGTGAAAAAATTGTATAAATATATTCCTACCTTTTGCATCAAGCATATGGTGACACACTAATTACAAGATAGCTTCTCCTTCATTCTCTCTACCCCCCACCGTCCTATGTTAGTTAACTCTATTGCAATGTGTTCATACATCTATGTGCGATTTCTTGCACATTCGACAAGATTATAGAATTTTGTTAGTTGTTGTGAAGAACAAATTATCTTGGACTTAGTCTCCTCTAGTCAATAATGGGTTCTCCTTTGTGTGGCAGGGAAGGTAAACACAATTAAATTACATATTTAAGTATACTCAATTGTTTCAAAGATAATTTTTACATAAATTTCAAGTCCGTTTTTTTTATTAGGTATTGGTAAATATTCCATATCATTCTTTCTAGCTTTGCATCAAAAATTTTTTATATATAACAAAATACTTACTTAACTTTGCATAAAGTGTAAAGCTGGCATTATTCCTCCCCATACGTGACCAATTATTGGCATCTTCATTTAATGTAGCTTGCACTTGACATATAAGTATCTCATGATTCTGCTATTTCCCTTTCATCATTTTTAGTATGAACCTTATAGCTAAGTTTAATTACACAAGTCTAGTAGCGTTTAATAGACTTTGAATAATTGACTTAAAGACTATACACATATTGAGTTTCTATTTAATCGTGTAATATTAAGTTTTACCTTCTTTAAAAGCCAAATTTTGACGCACTGTAGTAAAAGATTGTTTTGGGATAAGAGATTAAGAAAGGAATAAAATGTTGTGTAAGAGGATTAAGAAAGTGCACTACCAACCTGAGTAGAGAATCATTGCCTTTTGTCTTGAAAATTCTTGGCCACCTCGTAGTTGTATGTCAATTGTTCTTGAACAAAGTAAACTCTCTATTTTGCACAGATGCATCTAGAGACAAATTTAAAATAGAACATGAATAAGAAAGCAGAAGTTTTTGAATAATGTTACTTTTATAACATTCTTTTTCCTTTTTTGTGTCTTTTTTCTGTAAAAAATAATACAAAGATGGCATTGCTGAAATTTTCTTACCAATCATAGACAGCAAAGATGCGTTGGGAAACATGAAAATAGAAAAGAAAAAAAAAAAGAAAAAAAAAAGAAGAAGTTAATATTTAGTCATTTTAAATTTTCACAAACCAGTATGCAATTCAATTAGTTTATTTTGAAAAAATAATCATCGTTTTAAACAATTTTAGTGATTTTTTTAAGATAAGAAATTATTTCTCAAATATAAATTCACGTTAATACTCATTCAATGCATGATCAAGGGTACTAAGAATATATTAAATATTATAGGCTTTAGGTTTAGGTTTATTAATAAAAAATAATATTTTTTATTTATTTTTATAAAGTAAAAAAAAAGTTATATATATATATATATATCTTATTAAAAAAAACTTTTAAAATTTATTTTAGACTTCATTTATCGTTGAGTTAGTCCTGATTCAATAATAAAAAATAATATAATTTTCTTGTTAATATTTAAAAGTTCAAATACGAATAGAAACTGTAATGCAAATATTTATGTTGGTTCATAAAGTTAAGTAACTTGAGAATACCATTGAAGCAAATAAATTCTTATAAAAAGGATTTTATAACTTGCTTATATAAACAACAACAACTAAGGTTGTTTAACTATTAAATAAATATTAAAAAAAAACAAATTTCAATTGAAAATAGAAATTCTTGTGCGAGTCCAGTCAATAGAGGATTTTTTGGGCTTTGTTAACCCAATAGGAAAACACACAACTCAACTGGACTATGGACTTCGATCTTCTTTTTTTTTTTTTTTTTGGTAAATGAACTCAGGACTTATATTAACTGGGTTATTATAATATTATTCATTTGTTATTTTCAAGGAAGATATTGAATGTTGGCTAATTTATTTTCTTTAAAATTTAAATATATTTTTAAAAATAAAATATATTTATATTATTAATCAGGAATTAATATAATTTTTTCTCTATTTATTTATTCCTAATTAATTAAGGAAATAATTTTGTATTTATTTTTTTATTTATTATTAGCATTATATTGTTAACAAATCATAAATAAAACAACTTTAAGAAAATATCGAAAAGAGGAATTAAAAAGGTGAATAAACTTAGTCCATGTGGACTAAATTTATACAAACCTATATTCTGGAAATAAAAGATAAGAAAATTCATATTTCTAAAAACTAAATTGTATAGAGACACACATATACATACCTATATATATATATATA